ACTCAAGTGGTATATATATATATATATATATATATATATATATATGTATATATATATATATATACAAGAAAATAACCTCTTTTGGGTTTTTGAAAAATACATTCCATTTTCAAAATCCTCTAATAGTATGATTCCTTTTTTTTTTGTCTAATACCGACCACCACTTACCCTCTTTTCTCTCCTTTTTTTTATGTGGATCGATGGATAGGATAAATCGATATAGTTTTTTTTACTGTATTACAGTGTTTTCAATAATTCTAATAAAACTGTAATATAGTATAAAAAACTAAAATCTAATATTTCTTGTATTGTATTACAATCATAGTATTTTTTATATTATGTTCCAGTGTAACAATATAAAAACACTATAACATAACTTAAAAACCATTACACAAAAGATTGACCATGCAACAACTTTCAACATAAAAAGTAGAACAACTTAAAGCATCACTAGTAGAAATACTAAGAAAGTAGGCTTCTAATAGATATGAAATCACTAGCATGAGTGAAAAAATAACAAGAATCAAAACTAATATCAGCTCTTGCTATGATAACCATTTATAGCATTTATGCTTTCCCAAATGAAAAGGCAATATTAGAATTAAGCTTGTCATGAGAAAAAGAGATGAAACTTACTCGAAGATTAAATGAAGATATAGTTACATAAGATATTACCAATAAGACTAACCTTATCATTATTCAAGTTGAAATCTCATTATGAAACCAAATACAAAACCAAACAAAACACAGCAATCAGTGAAACATATTTAGACACAAAAGAAGAACAATAATTCTAGAGTAGAACAAGATATCATTACATGTTTACCAAAATAAAATTAATTAAAATACATCAGTGAACACAAGTAGTGACCGCTCGGAGAAATTCAGTCACTAGGAATACTCACTAGCTTCTGCAGATATTTGCACTGCGAGACTCAAAAAGAACAGTTACACAAAAGACTCTCACTCCAATAACAAACCGATGAAAAGAGAAAAATCTATAAGGGAATAAAGAAAATACATTACAAGACAAAAAATTATCAACCAAACATAAATTTCTACTCCAGCAACAAACTACAAAAAAATGAAAAATAAGACATATAGGGATCACAGTGAAACTATACACCAAGAATCAACTGCACTAAAACCTCAACATTAGAGAGCCCAAAAGATTTTCAACAACATGTCTACCTGCAAATTCAAATAGCCAGCTTGGTAAAGGAAACAACTCCGGATGGACCCTGAACATAACAACTGTGGAAAAAGATATAAGAACAGAAGCCAGAACCATTATCTTCTTATTTTTCAAAGTCTGAATCACTTGAGCTAGAGCTTGAGCTTGAAACAGTCTGCCTATGCTTGTGTTTCTTTTGTGTCCTACTTGTGGTTAATGCTTTGGAGGCAGATACATCACCCACTATTTCGACTTTTGATTTTTCACCTAATTGTTCCATGTTTGAGTTACTTTCTGTTGTTACAGCTTCCTTAATCTCAACAGCAGATTGCACCTCAACTACCTGAGTTTCCAGTTGTCTTCTGCTTGCATTGACTTCTACAGATCCATCTACTGTTTCCATCACTGTTGGGGCTTTGTTGCTGGTGTTATGTGAAAGCTCACTAAAAGCCGAGCTTATGTCTGCAATAGATTTTGCTTCAATAACATGCAGATCTGATTGTATTTGCTTTGCATCTATATGCTCACTACTCCTGAAATTTGGAGATCCAACTTCTTGATATACAGGTTTGTGAAGACTTTCTTCGTTAATTTCTTGGGCTTTCTTGCTGGTGTTATGTGAGAGCCCACTAAAAGCCAAGCCTATGTCTTCAATAGATTTTGCTTCAATAACATGCAGATCTGATTGTATATGCTTTGCATCCAGATGCTCAGCACCCTTGAAATTTTGAGATCCAACTTCTTGATATATAGGTTTGTGAAGATTGACTTCACTGATTTCTTGGGCTTTCTTTCTGGTGCTGTGCGAAAGCTCAGTAAAAGCCAAACCTATGTCATCAATAGATTTTGCTTCAACAACATGCAGATCTGATTGTATTTTCTTCGCATCCAGATGCTCTGTACCCTCAAAATTTGGAGATCCAACTTCTTGATGTATAGGTTTGTGATGACTTTCTTCACTAATTTCTTGGGTTTTCTTGCTGGTGTTATGTGAAAGCTCGCTAAAAGCCAAGCCTATGTCTTCAATAGATTTTGCTTCAATAACATGCATATCTGATTGTCTTTGCTTTGCATCTAGATGCTCAGTAACCTGTAAATTTTGAGATCCAGCTTCATGAAATACAGGTTTTTGAGGACATACTTCACTAATTTGTTTGAAAGCTAAATGAATATCTTCAACAGATCGTGCTTCAACTACTAGAAGCTCTGACTCCATCACAGTTTGCTTCATATTTCGTTGAGCAGTATCTATTTCAATTAGCTGATTAGATGTTGAGCCAACCTCATGAACTGGGCTTGCCTCAAGAACATGAATCTTAGGATTGTAAACAGTCTGCTCAGGGTCAATACTGGAAGCAAATGAAGAATGAATTTCTAATTCCATTACTCCAGGTTGATTGACCAATGAACTCACCCCCTGACACTTATCAAAATTGGCTTCAGAGGATTGGTTGACTGACCTATCAGCATGCAGAATGGATCTGCCTTCAGAAACTTGCAGCTGAGTGTAGTCATCAACAAAAGAACTTGCGGTACCAGAACTAGTATCTTCAGAATGGCCTTCAGTTTGAAACATCATTTCTGATCCTTGATGATTAGTCAGTTCTTCTGTATGAAAATCCCCAAGTTCATCCAACTCTGTGGGCAAATTCTCATCTATTTCATCAGCCTCTAGAACCACAGGATGAACCTCATCAGATTCCTCATCAGAACTGTTTATCATCTTCAGAGAACCAGCTTCATGTTTGGTTAGGGTTGGACTCTTGATGCCATCTCTTGATCTAGACAGATCAGTGCTGGACTGGACCTTGACTTCAGACGTCATCTCTGAAACAATCGAGTCTGTGCTTTCTGTCAGTTCAATCAACTGTAAGCCAGCCAAACTACCATCATGAATAGTAACAGCAGCAGAGAACTCAGAAGTGATATCTTTGGACTTGTGAAAAGGAGTGAAATTATCATCGGTTTGACCAGTTTCCTGTTCAGGTTTCTGTGAGAAATAGGCCTCCTGTTCAGTATCAGATTCAAGAACCTTGAGATCTTCATTTATCTGTAACTCAGTTAAACCAACAACTTGATAATGATTTGTGAAGCCTGAATTATCTTCTTTATGTTCAATATCATCTTGATTCTCCTCAAAAAATGAAGGAAAATCCAAAGTTTTGACTCGTGACTTTTCAACACCAATATCATCAGAAGGCAAGCTGTACTTCTCTATGGATGGCAATACTATCTGAAATTCACATGAAAGTGGGTCATCAGATAAGATTAAGATATCAGAAGAACAAGGTGTAGATTTGATCACCTCCTCTCTTTCTATGCTGTGACTCACATCCACATTAATTGGAACTTCTCTTGATTGAGCCAGGTGATCATCACTGGCAGCTTCTGTGGGCTCTTGTATCATGTATGAAATTGGAAGGCTGGAATCTTCTTGAGCAGTTGACAGTTCAACTTCGACATCATTATATTTGGTAATTTCGGTGAGCACGCTTGATCTTGTTTCATTTTCTTCTATGGAAGTTAAACTCTGGGATAATATAAATGGCCCAACATCATTTATTGCATTAACCGATACCAGATCTCCAATTCCTGAGGCAGCATTTCCATCAAATGCCCTTGGAAAAGAAGCAACTTCCGAATCTTCCTTCTGCATGTCAAACGTCACTGAAGAATCATCATTAACACCTTGATCTGCATCCAGAAAAAACTTCATTACAGGAAATGACCTAAAGGAATTTTCTTATATGCTCACTGGTCACAGAAGGAGCTCACTTACTTGCATCAGGTCGAGCATCAAATGTTGATAGTTTATAGAAAGATTCTCCAGCTGCTAGTGCGCTAGAATCATACATGGTTTCTGCAAAAGCAGAAACTGTATCGGCACCTTTTGAATGATCAAATTCTGCAAAAGCAAATGTACTGAAATTCTTCGTTTGTTCCAATTTATGTGGCTGTCCAGATAAGGTTGTTTTAAAACATTTCTCATCTTCCCATGATGAATTTGAGGAATTTGGCCCAGCATACTTCTGTTCAGTCAGTTCCAATTGCTTAGAATTCAAATTGAGTACATCTAAGTGTATTTCTTCTTTAACATCTTCTTCCAAAGCTGCAAAAGCTTCACCAGCCGCACTGACCTTTTCATTGTCTTGTGCAGTGAGGTTAGTATCCACACCAATCTCACGATCATCAGTTACATGCTCAGTCTTCTCTTGTTCAATATCAACTGATTCTGTTTCTTCAGATGTGTGACTTTCATGTTCCACAGCATCAGCATCATGTTTACCAGGACACAAAAGTTCTGTTTCCTGATCGAATACCTGTTCTTCTAGCTCTCTGTTATATTCCTGATCGGTAACTGAAAAATCTGTGTCAGATTCTGGAATAGAACTCACTTTCGACTCATTTCTGTCACTATATTGTCTCTGGAATGTAGAACTTCCCTCTTCTGAATCCAATTTCTCTGCAACGAAGTAGGGCTTCAATCTCGAATGACCTCTCTCTTGTTTAAATTCCTTTCTTCTTAAGCTAAAGGTCTCATTTCTTCTAACTAACATCTCATGCTGTGGAGCTGACACAAAATCCTGGTGACCCCAAGTCTCATCTGTAAGGCTGCTGTTTTGTTCCTGCTGATCATAGAAAAGATCAAAAGGATTTCTTCTGGGTAGCAGAGAAGAGGGAGCAGAGCCTGGCATTGGTCGTAAATCAAATGTTTCCTCTGAATCATATGGAACATCGAAAGGATTCCTCCTTGGTGCAGAAATGGGTGGAACTTGGACACGAAAGCGTGATAATTTCTCCATACCAGGAAAAGAGGTATTAACATCCAAGTCAATAAGATTTCTGTCCATCACAAACGACAGATTCTTCTTTTCTTTTTGCTTTGCAATTAAGCTTTCTAATCTCTGATTCCTTTCTAATTCAGAAGATCCAAGATCCATGAAGTTTTTCTGATCATCTTCTGTCCATTTAACTGCAGCTTCAGTCCCATCATCTTTCTCTTGTGCTTCATCATCTTCTTCCTCATCATGAATTTCAGCTTCTTCATCGATACTATTGTCATCCGGTTCATCATCAAGCGACGACCCTTCAGAGGCTGCATCTGACTTGGGAATAGAAACATGCTGAGGATGTTCAGAATCTAGAAGAGGGTGAAGTTCATCAAGCATTGGAATGATGTCAGTAATAGAAGCATCAGGAGAGGAACTCTCTGCTCTATCCGATTCAGTGTCTGAAGAAGAATGGTGATCATCAATGGACTGCCAACTCAATCCTAGAGAAGAGTCAAGATGGTGGTCCAATTTGGGTTCACCAGTCTCCAACTTAAGGTCCTCAGTTTCTTGTATTTCCTTAGGATCAAAAGAACTGATATCTTTACTCACTTCTGCCACATCTATGGCTGTCTTCCCAACAAAAAGATCTCTGTTCTCGGAAACCCCTTGACATAGAGTTTCTTCTTCTTGAATCACTTCCTCATCATACCTGTCTTTCTTCGCTTGCACACCTGATGCACTGTCACCTACGATAGTATCAATCCTCTCAGTTCCTTCATATTGTTCTAATGCCTGATAGATACGCACATCTGCACTAGACTTTTCTTCACAAGGAATTGTCTCTCTGGGCACAATGTCGTCATAATAAGTTCTGTTTTCTACATGGTTCTCAACTGTTAAGTTCTCATCTTTCTTGAGACACAGATGACTAACAGAGCTCCTAATTTCCACAGAAGAAACTTCCCGAGTCCTTGTATCCTCTATCTCAATTTCAGGAATATTTGGTTCTCCATAGCTCAGGAGGAGTCCAAGAAGAACAGTCGTGCACACAATGACAGGAGAAGAAGAGACCAGAAAGGCAAACAGAGAAGGAAAAGATCTGTACAGTACAAGCAAGAAAAACACCAGAGCAAAAACAAAAGGATGATCACGAGCACATCTGTAGCTAGTTCTGACACAAAATACCATTATTTTTTCAATATATACTCTGATTTCATTTCTGTTGATTGCCATATCGTATCTCCCTTCTTTGTCTAATAATCTGTTAACAGGAGAGGAGTGATAAACATAGTTATTCATGTGAAACACAAGAGATAAATATATTTTTGGATGCAACAAACGACAGCATTCCTTGTCCAACATAAATAATAGCAATACAATTGCCTACTAACAAAAAAGTAACAAATCTGAATAAAGTTCGGGTCCACAGGCTCAGGTAAATAGTACAGACATCATATGATGGTCTAGAACTTGTCAAAACGTAATCCATCTTCTCACCAACAAAGGAAAAAAGCATAGAGCCATGAACATGATCCAAGTATTCAGAAACAAAGAACCTAGGTTCATATATCAGCACTTGAGTCCTTTTCTTCTTCATGATGGTTTATATAGATTGGCATATGCATGTGTAATATGTATTATTACGCATGTCAACCAAAATCTTGCACAGTTGATGAAAATATCCATCAGCTGAAATGCTAATACTACAATCTCAAGCAGGCTTCTCATCCAATCGTTTGTATACAAGAAATTTCAAGTAGCAAACCTGTTCTAAAAATCTCTCATATATATATTCTCATGAAAGTAACAAAAGTTCAAACAAGAAAATAACAGTAAACATTCCACAAGACGAAAAAAGTAGCAGCAAAGATCCACCACTGACAAAGCCCCTCCAAAACCCACTCTCATATCAAATCAAAGATCAGATCTTTCAGATGGTAAAACAAAGAAGTCATCAACCACGAAAACACAATAAAAATCCGGTCCTGTTGGTATCAGAACGCTTCCAAATGCTAAAAGAAACTCGCATATCAAACTAATTCGCAAAGGAAGTGAAAACGCACCACGATGGGGCGATCGAATCGGGTCTTTTTGTGCTGTTGCCGATCGTCGGGGAGGGTGGTCGAACAACTTCCGAATCGAAGTGAGATCGGAGGAGGCGGAGTGGATCGGGTCAGAGGGCAGAGGGATGGTTTCTGGTAGGGAGAAGGGGGAAGGAAAGCATCAACGATCCTGTCTTAACCTGCTGGAGCGAGGAAAAGTCGAAAAGCGAGTGGCTTTCCACTGTCACTTTATTCAACCATTGGGTCTGATGGTAAAATATAAGGAAAGCAATCGTGCGCGGGACAGAAGGGTACATCGGTAATTTTGGGGACCGCCAAATCCCAGTCTTCTTGCCACCCTCGCCGTGCCGGAGGCGGCAAACGCCGGCGACGAGGTCATTTGACCGGTTGACCTGTTAGAGACAGGTGTCAATCCAGCTTTAATTTATAATTTTTATATATTTTATATGTAGATAATTTTTCGGAAAAATCCCACATTTTGTGCCTTTTCCTAATCACTCCCTCCATTTCCAAATTTAGAGCCTTTCCTTTGAAAAAAAATCGAAAATAAAATTTTCTTAAAGAACAATTTTTTTTTTTTTTTTTTTTATCGAAATCCAAATCGAGCTGAATTGGATCATCATTTATAGTGTTCCTGAATGGATTACAGTATTTTTGGTTAGCAGTCGATAAGAATAATTTTGTCATCTTAATAAGTTGCGACTCTCTTTAAGAAATATATTCATATTCCTTATATTAATATCATTGATTAAATTATAACTTAAATTAATATATTTTAGAAAGTCATTGTGATGGCAAAAAAGAGGATACTTTTTATTTTTATAATATATATATTTTTAGTTCAAATAACATGATAAAATTTATGGCTAATAGTGTATTTAGAATTTCATGTATTTTATAGTTTATAAAACTATATATTCTTTTTAATTTTAGTGAATTTTTCATATTTATCATTTTAAAATTTAAATTAGCTCTGAAACCTGAAACTTCGTATACATGTCTTTATGATTAATATATTATTGTTTAATTGTTGATGAAACCTTTTTGAAAGTTAATGCGATGGTAAAGATATGAGGGTAGTTTATATATATTTTTAGTACTAATTAATTTATTAATTATACTTAAAATTGGATTTAGAAACTTTTGTATTTTATAATTTGATATGTATATATATGTATGTATGCATGCATATATATGTATATATATATGTATATATATACATATATATACATATACATATACATATA